TGCTGCTGCTGCTGCTGCTGCTGCTGCTGCTGCTGCTGCTGCTGCTGCTGCTGCTGCTGCTGCTGCTCCAGGTGATGCAGAATCGCTCCGCTGTTTTTTTTTTCTTTTGAAGGAGGGTCTAATGGTACTTTCCTGCTTTGCATTGCTTCAATGGACCAATTAGAGAAAGTCCCCTCTCGCCACTGATTACTTTCAAACTAAAAAAAAAAAAAAAAAAAGCAATGCAACATGACATGAATGTAATTTGTAATTCAATGCATTGCAGAAATGTAGTGGAGTAGAAAGTACAGATAATGTCAAATGTAGTGAAGTAAAAGTAAAAAGTAACCATGATAAAATCTACTTAAGTAAAGTACAGATACATGAAAAATGTACTTAAGTACAGCAACAACTTGTACTTAGTTACATCCCACCACTGATATTTTCCTAAAATTTCATGTAATTATATCAAACATTATGGAAGTTATGACCAACAATAGATAACAACAAAGCAAAATAGTCACAAATGGTTCAGCTATGAACTGCAGAAGAAACTGCGAGTTTCATTATATCTAAACAAACATTCAGAACTTCCTTTTTACTGTTATTTTGTAGGGTTTTTAAAAATTTAATGCACTCTCAGGCTTGATATTGGTGTTGAAATAAAATACACATCCCTAGAAATATTTGCAATACCTCACATTTACTAATCTGATACAACGCAGTATAAAATGCACAATATCAATGTGATTAATGCAGTTTCACAGGCATTTAAACAGCTCAAATTCCCCTCATGAAGTCAAACTTTTTGACTTTTTATGAGTTTGTGTTTAAAACCCCGGTCGTGCTCTCTGATTGGCTACAGGGCGGCTGATGTTCAGGCATTTAACATCTGGGAGAAAAGTGAGCCGGGCGAGGCGGAGGCTGAGAGCAAGCTCAAACCGTTAGCCAATCAGCGGCGAGAACGACCCCAAACTCGCTACGTAATTGGCTAAAGCGCCTGTCAGTCTTCGTTGAAGAGGCGTGGCTTAAAGGACTGTGGAAATGTTTTGATTTTTCAGTCCGACTGGCTCCAGTCCTGTCACAGCCGTGTGTGGGGCGTCTTTTCGCTACGCTGGCGCTCTGGGAATACCAACAGTTTTCCGCAAACATCCAGCTTCAAACCAACAATTAATTCATCTTCTGCTCTGTCGTGAGTTTGTTTCATTTCTTCGACTTTAATTCGCCACAGAAAGAGACTGCGACGAGTGTTTTTTTCTCAGTGGAAGTAGCAGGGAGACAATAAAAGGTAAGAGCTGGTTTTTTTTAGTTGCTGTCGCAGCTGTGCTGACTTTGCTCATTAAGGGTCTGATGCTCTAACTTTGTCACAAAGGAGGGATTATAACGGCGTGAAAGAGGGGCTAATCGTTTAAAAACAACACGGCAGAAGTGTTTAATTAGCTTAATCTATTCCTCAACTCTCGCCAAGTTAAATTTTATTTATTTATTTTTATTTTACTCATCTTTTTTTTTTTTGCAGAAATGTAAAAGCCAGCTGAGGCGGCGCGCGTTTCTCCTCCATATATTTCCACTTTGTCATGAATGTTTTCCCAACTTATAAATATTTATTGTCCGTACTTGGATAATCTTTCCTCTCATTATTGCAGTCAGAGTCTCTGCAACTTGTCTTGTGGGAATTTGACCCGAAACACTAGATTGGATCCGGATATCAGTTAATTTTCCAGAGAAAGCATGCTCAACTTGTTAATACTGGATCTGCGTGTGGAAAATAATATACCCAATGCACGGAGATGTGTGTGTTGGGGAGGGGGATAAAACATTTGAGCCCTCTTTACAATCAGAGGAGATAAACATATCAGGCTGAGAGGAGGAGATAATTGGGTGTCTGTTTTATTACACTGAAAATGAACATTTCCCCTCCAATTCACCAACATGTTGGCTCCTAAACCATCCTTACTTCATCTGCAGATGGGTCTAGATGCCAGAAAGAGAAAAGGGAAAACGATGAGCTCATTGTTTGAACTGCATGACACAATGAGATTAGAAAGTCTTTTTTTTATTATTTCTTTCACTGTTTAAGATTCACTCCTGGTTATTTATGTTGAAACGGATGCCCGGAGCTGCTCTTGAGGGGTTCTCTGCAGAACTATAGCTGTATGATTTGTTTCAGCCTGTTGTGCATTAACTCCCTCTCCTCCCTTAGTGGGTTTCCAGTTTCAGTTGAGGCTAACAACAATCCAACAATAAATACATCTCGACAGGGACAGACTACACCAGCGCCTTTGTCGATATCAGCCTGTTGCAAATCGTTTTAGACCCAAAAGCAGCTTCTTGGTGGTGTTATTTTACCCGTTGCCAACTCTCATTGCTTTGCAAAAAGTTTCGCAGCCGTTAAGAAAATATTATGCTGAATCTGCAGTGGTTGATTCAGAATGCTCTCTTTTTGTATTATCTCTGATCAAAGCATTGAGATTTTTAAATGAAGACGGTCGGTTGGTGACTTCCTTTGGTTTTGCTTTGGCTGTGTCCAAAACGGAAGGACGGGTCCTCTGAAGGTCGAATTTGTCGGCCGCATACGTCACAGCGCCGCGACGAAGGACGTCCAAAATCCAAGACTCCTCCGATGCGGCCGACAAATACGTCCTTCCTTTGGCCCGAMTCGAAGGACAGGTCYGATGGATCCTTCCCGGCCCAACATATCCCATAATGCATTGCGGCCCGACCGGAGATTTTTTTATGCTAGTAATGGCGGACGAAGCGAGAGAAAAGAATACGTTTTTAATAAAAATATGGTGATTTAAAAATTAAAAAAAATTAGCGGTTGTAATTCTAATACTTTTATCAACATGTTTTTACATATTATTTTTTCGTCATAAAAAACGCGAAATAAACATGAACCTACAGCGGGTCAATTAGTTCTTCAAATTATACTTTTAAGTTAATTTTATAGTTTTGTGATATTAATAATGCTAAAGTATTGATATTTTTCTAGTTTTGATTTAAGTTTGCTTGTTTAGCGTCGTCACAGTTGCTACGTGACATGACGTACGCCGGGGTAAGGAGGGGAGGCTAGACCGTCCAAATGCACAGCCTCTTTTTTTCCGGTCTTCCCGGTCTACCAAGGACTCGGCCCGCCGCGACCAGGGAGCGACCCGGCCTGTCGTTTTGGACACAGCCTTAGTCCCTGCTCCTCTCAGCTGCTGCAGCGATTTCATCGAATAGGGAGGGGGCATTCATGGCTTGTGGTTTCCTACCACATTTGTAGAATGACTTGGCACTGTTTTCTGCTCTGAGGAAGAAAAAAAATGCAGTGTGATTCCACGTTATTCTGTTTGACATGTAGCTGGTGTGCTGACAAGGAGAAGAGCCACTCCGGCTCAGGACAAGTGGGATGCTCCTGCCTTAACCAGCAGATCTGTCTGCGCTCTCACTCACACGATGAACTGTGCATACCCGATCTACATTCAGCCCTCGCGCGCGCCAGTTGTCCGCACTCTAAATCAAACCAGCTCCTCTTTTGTTTTTCCTCCTCCCCCCCTTTTTTTTACACGTAATCATCAAGGAAATGTCTTTCTGCTGACAAGCGAGTTAGTCACAAGTGTGAGAGAGAGCAAAGCACCAGCAACACATTCATTCCTCATCACCGCAGAAAATTGCCTCCTCTTCGTCCAGCTCTGATAGGCCCACTGCTTAGTTAGCATGGTTAATGGTGCGTTTACCGCAGTGTGTAATTTTATTTCCAATTTCCATTTTGTCATTTGCTTTTAGTATGAAATGACAAGAGGCCCCCGATGTACGGACCCTATGTGTGCAGATGGCATCGTCCTAATGGTCCTCAGGGTAATGATGGTTGAAATAGGTTCCTAACCGGAGGCTGGGAGTCATGGTCCTTGGGGGGACATTCAGTTTGACTATTTTCTTTTTCATCATCAAGATGAAGTGCTTAGTTTCTAACCATAACTGTGTATATTTATAACGCACACACACACTTGTTTTGCAGCTTGAATCGGTCAGAAAGAAAAGAAAAAAAAAAGCTAAATTGTAGTGGAACAAATGAAGACTCGTTACATTATATCCCCCGGCACACTTGAAGTTGCTGAATTGCTGCACTCATCCTCATCCCCCCCCCCCAGCTTTCCGAGCTCGGTGGAACTCAATAGTGTTGGATGATACATTTTAGGCTGTTGTTGTGCCACCTTAACAACAGTGATTTGTCTGGAGTGTCTCCGATCTCATGTGCAACTGTTGATGTCTAAAGAGCGGGTTAGCGCAGCGCTGTGCTTCAGGAAGCAACAGTTAATCTCTCCTCCTCACACGCGACATATGGGACTTTGTTTGGCCCTGCACCTGATAGCGGCACTGGTCTGTGACACCTCATACTTCATTTTGATAATGGCTGGTTACCCGTGGCAACTGTGCTGCCAGCGAGAGTCTCGCTTCTTGAAGGGCAAAAAAAAAGAAAAAAAAGAAAAAGAAATGGGCGTGTTATGAGGATGTGCACTTCAAGGTTTTCTTCCTCCCATATCCCCACTTTCCCCTGGCTGGTTGCATTGTAACCAGTGAAGGGTGTGGGACCCCTGGGGTGTGAATTATTACCTGTCAGCCCTGCAAGCTCCGTGCCATCCATAATCCTGGGCTGACACAGCACAGGCCAGTCCAGGCTATCTGCTGAGACCACTAGGCCTTGGCCTCAAGGCCTGGCCCTGTTCGGCCACAGCTGGTCAGAAATCACATTAACATGTTGCATCAGGCGTTACAAATGCACAGGTTGGGTGCAGCAGATGGACCTGCCTTAGCATGAAACCTGGCTCCTCCATCAGTGCTCAAACAGCAGGATTATTATTATTATTATTATTATTATTATTATTATTATTATTATTATTATTATTACTTTTTAGAGGATTTTTTATAACTTTTTCAAATGAGCAGAAAACTTCTTCACTGAGCCTGAAAGAAAAGTTGCTCGTCATTTTGCTGATTCAGCACTCTGAATCTTTCAGGTATATCAGCCTGTTTATTTATTTTTTAAGTTCATTTATAGCTTGCCAGTGGCACAGACGTGATGTATGGTGCCAAGTCTTGTTGCATCTGTTTCCAAGTTATTGGTGCAGGCTGCAGTAAGTTAAGGTGAATGCAGCGCTGACAGTCTTTCCTCTCGCTGATCCAGTCTGAATCCTTGGCAGACTTATAATTATGTTTGATTCCAAAAACAGGCCTGCAGTTGTATCCGTCATGTGGTCCTGGCGTGGTAAGTCCTCCACTAGAAATTACAGTTAAACTGATGAGTGTGTAAATTTGGGGAGGAAAACTTTGGAGTTCAGTCAGAGGCTAGAGGGACAAAGAAGGGGGGAAAGAAGGCGGGACATGGCGGAGCAGAAACTGGACATGTGACAGGCCTCAGTCCGACCATCCAGACTGGCTGTCTTCTGGTGGTTTTTGCCGAGCTCTTCTTCAGAAACATTAACCCCTTGTCAAACACGAGCTGGAGTTTCTTTTGCCAAACCCACCAAGGCCACAAGCAGCAAGCAGGAACAATTCATGCCTGTCTGGTTTTACACTCCATGAAGCACGGAACGAGTCCAGCAATTAAAGGGGAACATATAACCTGAAGCTAGCAAAGTTTCAAAGATTTATATTCCCAGTGTAGAGAGAGGCTCTAATGTCCACAAATTAAAATGCGCACTTCCTTTTTTGAGGCTTTTGTTCTCCTTCATTTCATGTAAATGTTTAAACATGCACTGTGGTTTCTATGTTTTCATTGTGGTTTTGTATTGAAAACGCTACAGTTGGAGTAATAAGACTCATAGGCTCGTGTTTTTCTTGTCTCCCTCCCTGCTGCAGAAGATGCCCTTTTTTTAAACACAGGACATAATGCACATCATTCACACACTGACACACACACACATTCTCATCTGAATGATGGAGCATGGAAACAGCATGTGCTGCCCACAGGATAGTGGGAAAACAACATGCACAACATAAAGGATCTCTTTTTAATAAGAAAAGAAATCATCCAAAATTGAGTTCTCATCATCTTTTCTATGCAAATTTCCTGTGATGAGGTGATGGTGCAGCCTCATATAATCTTACATGTTTCCAACTTAATATAAACCCTTCAAAGCAGAGGTGGGTGTATCGATTCAAGTATCAATATTAAGATGAGTGTCGATCTCATAGTTTGAGATTGATTTTTTTGTTTACACTTTATGTTCCACAAATAAAGTGACAAAATAATGTGCCTACAGTTGTGTACGTTTCAAAAGATCTGTTGTTTGCTTTGTAATGTTG